TGCACTTCGGGTGGCCGAACATGCTCAGCATGTTCGGCCGACCCGAAGCCACGCGAAGTGAGCCGATGTACGGCTGATTTCAGCCGATGTACGGCTGAAATCAGCCGTACCAGCCTGAAGTGAATAGCCGAACAGTGTTCGGCTCACTTCACTTCAGATCGGTCTTTCACTCGGCTGCCTACGGCAGCTTTGTGAATAGACCCGTATGTGTTTCATATAGTTCAAATTCTACTTTAATTTTTCAAATGTATTTAAACCCTTCATTTAAAACATGATACACAGCATCATACTTCTACTGCACTTACAACCATTCTGCAGCAGAGTCTTTCATGATACATAGCATCATACTTCTAGTGCACTTACAATCTCTGCAATCTGCCTTAGAAATGTAACTCCCCCTAGTTTCTGTTCTTACGGTGGCTACGCTGCCTTACAGTGTCCTCTGGAGCCCCAATTTAGCCACCCTTGTGAGCACCCTCCCACTTGAGTCTAAAGGCTGACATGTCGGTGCTCCGTGCATTGACACGAACAAGAAACGCCAAAGCCCAGGAATGCAAGCCACTCCTCCGAGAGAATCGATTGGCAGTGGCTTCCAATACAGCGTTGGCCATTCATCTATTGTAATAATGTGTTTTTCATATAGCAGCATTGTATTCTTAAAAATGGGCATATAAATTGTTTATTGCATATTTTAAAAGCATTATGCTGGGGGTCATGTGACATCTACTGTGCATGCTCCCTGATTGTAAGTTTGGGGAAGCAGCAAAATTGTAAGTGATTGGGGACATTTATTTGTTAAAAAAAACCTCATGGTGGCAGTGCACATTTCATGCTGGATATAAATACTTTAATGTAAAAAAGGAAGGGTTTAAAACTACGTTAAAGGTGTTTGGCTAACAGGCCTACTGGTGCGCTTTTTGGGGACTGTTTGGCTTTTTCACACACTCAGGTTTTTTTTGTAAAAAGAAAAAAACACTGTGCTATTTATTCAAGTAGGGAATCATATTTATTTGTGTGCTAAGCAGAAACTAATCCTGAGAAAAACACGTTGGCTGTTATTAATGACCTCCATGTGAGAATTCTACTTCCTCATTGTCTCAGGCTTCATACTTTATAAGACACTAGCATTTTTAGAAGATGGTCAGCAGTGGCAGCCTCCATATTTCCCTTGCCAGAGGAACTTGAGCTGAAGGTTAGCTTTAACCTTTTCCCTGCTGGAAGCATCTTTTTCATGTTGCATACAAATACTAAAATGCACATTTTGTACATGAAATTCCAGGTTCATACTTCACAGAGGATTAATTTATCCACTGAAGAAGGATATCAAAGCATGCATGATGATGTGAACACCTTTGGAAATAAAAGCCTTCGGGCAGTTGGATGGTGCCTACATGACCATCCTGTGCAGTCAACATTAGACTAAATTTTATTTACCTTACTCATCTCTCCCTTATGCTTTTTGATTATAAGCTACTTGGCAATGTCTCTTATTTTAACTGTTACATGTATTTATGAATGATATAATGCTACAGTTCTTGCTTTTCTGCACTTATTGCATTCTTGAAAACTTGGCTATATATCATCAAGAAGAGTAATCATATAGAAGGTTTACGGAAGTCAGAGCACAATGACTTTAATTACATTTTGTACATTTCAGAAACAGAATGTAACTATAATGGATCACCATTCTGCAGCAGAGTCTTTCATCAAACACATGGATAATGAATACAAGCTGCGGGGAGGCTGCCCAGCGGACTGGGTTTGGATTGTGCCTCCAGTGTCAGGGAGCATCACCACTGTGTTTCACCAGGAAATGCTCAACTATATTCTGAGCCCTTTTTACTACTATCAGGTAGGAAAAGTGTGGCACACCATGTTGAGCCCCTTTTATCAAAGTATCAGCCAGTCACCAGCCAGAGTAAATCCGTACTAGAAAATTACAGCACAGAAATGGAAAGGTGATTTATAAGGGTGCTGTGCAGACAACATTGTCTTGAAATTAATAAAAGGAGCACAGCCTACTTGTTTAGTACTTTGGTTTTTCCTCCAACATTGCTGTAAAGCACCAGTCTATGCCATTTCTTCTGTTGGCAAGCTGGTGATGTGAACACAAGCAGGAGTGGACACACCTATTGTAGGCAGCTTGATGAAAACAAATTTATGTAATTACTAAGAAGATTCTCAAAGTTAAAAAGTTGAAATTTTAATTTGATTGTTGATATAGCAACCAGTGACATCAGTGAGCTGGGTGGGATGCTAGAGAGAGCCGCCGACAACATGGGCTGGCATCTGCCCCTTCGAACAAATCAGCTATGCACACCTACCCCCCATTGACCATTCCATGACAACATCCCGCCACCCCCCCAACTGACATCACCTTAAACGGCGATTTACCAAGTGACAGCACTGTGTCCCAGCATCCATGTTAGGTCTATGGGGAGCTGGACGTGTCCCTATACATCAGATTACCCCCGATCCATCACAATCAGGCCCGTTCTGTTTTCTGCGTCCATTTAGATCCGATAGACTAACATTGGGCTTCTGATCAAATCTGCCTGAAAAACTGACAGGTAGCATATTATGATTCATATTTCATGACCCATGTATATGGTATATTTTTTATGAATTCTTTGTTCATGTCACATTATGTACGTTTCCATGCTTTTGTAACAAACTTTTTCTTGAATAAAATCAATGAGGGCAATTTATCAAAACTGGAGCAGACAAAATCTGGAGCAGTTGCCCATGGCGACCAATCAGCTTCTCTCTTCAGTTTGTTTAGTTAAGACTTAAAAATGAAGGAGAAGCTGATTGGTTACCATGCACAGCTGTTACAGGTATGATCTGCTCCAGTTTTGATAAATCCCCCTCAATATGTTTAAAAAAGGATTAGTTTAACTCCTCCTTATGTCAGCGATCTTGCTTGTGGTGATTTGGTTTATTTTCTTTTTCTTTTTCAAGTTTACAGCTGACTGAATGTAATTGGTCTGGAAAATGTTATGTTGGTAACAGAAACCTGAAATGTTTTGTTATGCTACCTAAATATATACATGGCTTTATAAATGCTATATCCTAACATTTTATTGCAGATTGATGCCTGGAAAACGCACGTGTGGCATGACGAAAGGCGAAAACCTAAGAAGAAAGAATTCAAGCTCAGTGTTATTGCCAAGTAAGAGACTAAGATTGTCACCACTGATATGTGAATTGTAGCCAAGCCTTTCCACTTGTGGTGGCATTCAGTGGTCACAGTCACATTCATCCTCTCTGACAAGTCAATAGACTTGTAATGTTTAGGGAGTTTTCAGCTTTGCAATAATGGAACGAGTTTGCTGATGAATTGCGATAAATGTCTATATCCATCTTTGCTGGCAGTCGTGTATTATGGATGTACATGCTGCTGAGCCCTTAGGAAATAAACTATTAATCAGTTTGCAGAAATAATTGGGGGATTGATCTGCGGTGTGCTGCCAGTATTTGACATGTTTAACTTATGTACTTAATGTTTCAGGGCTGTGTTCTTTGCTTCAACACTTGCGAGGAAATCTATGGCTGCCAGGATGAAGGCCACAATCCTGTATGCCACAGAGACGGGAAAATCAGAGACATTTGCAAGAAAATTGCAGACATTATTCAGCTTTGCTTTCAATGCTAAGGTAAATAAAGTAAAACATAGATTTTCTACTGGCGGCAATGGGGGTGGCCATTTTGTGGTTAAGTACAACACAAGTGTGATTTTCATTTGATGAGCCCTTATGTAAAAAGAGTGGGATTACTAATTCAATGCAATAAACACTTTCTTATGCTGAAGTGGTTCACATTAAGCTCAGTAGTTGTGCACCTTTGTGGTGCTGCCCAGTGGCATCCCCGACCTTGGCAGCCAACCAGGTCTGTACATGGCAAGTGATTTCTGCATTTGACAGTTTCTAAAATAGTTCTTTAAAAATCTTGCTTCGGAAAGACACAAAAATGATGTAATAAGCCTGTGCTACTCTTAATACGTTCTTTCTAGGGAAAGAGTAGGCAACTTTGACATTTCAACTGTGGTGACTCTATAAAAGGGTAGGCAACCTTGCAATTCCAGCTGTAGTGAATCTATAAATACTATCATGCCTCAGCTGTGGGATTCTCGCCTGAGTCTTGCAATGCCTCATGGGATTTGTAGTTCCACCATAGCTGTAGTGACGAGGGCTGGTTTCATAGCAGGGTTCTGGTTGGTTTGTACAATAAACAGTATAAACATTGTAAGAACAAAATCTTCTAGAGTACAAGACTGACTAGTAAAGACCAGGCTTATAAAGATAACAATGATGACCCACCAGACATTCTGAGGTTCAAGGAGTCCTGTCACTGGCAGAAAAAGATAACCTTTTATGATAAACAGAATTTTTTAAAGCCAAGCTTCAGCCCACACTTCTAGATCCACAAGGATCACAAAGTTTTTTCTGGAGTGCAGCAGCCACCAAACAGAACGTTTGACTATTTCTCTGTTCCACTAGTTTGACTATATCTAAAATACATCATGCTCACATGGCCTCCAGACACACATCCTGCATACAGAGGGTTACACCCTCTAGGCCTGGCCGCCAGTCCTGGGGCCTTAGTCCATCCACAACCTTCTCGACAGCTACTCTCCCCAGATAGAAGGACTTCGTAAGAACCCTTCCAAAACAGATCTCAGCTGTTTTGTCAGAGCCTGGTCCAACCCACTGATGACAAACTCACCAGGGGTTGGTCAGCTGGCATGACAGACATGACTCCCTGTATTCACCTCCCTCACAGTCTCTCCAACATATCTCCAGCTCTTCAGCTTTCTCAACAGTAACTGACACATGAGCAATACAGGGAGTCTTTGAACCCAATATTCTGCTGAGGGGGTTGGGTAACACATTCCTACACTTTTTCGGGCATCAGAAGGGCAGGGAGTCACAGACAGTAAAAACCTGACAAATTGTAACTTTTTCCTGCTCTTTACAAAATGAAAAAACACATTTAGATAGGCAGTATGATGCATATCTGAAGAAATATACACTTTATAAACAGTATGAGTGACATAGCGGCCTATAGTCTTTCCGGATAGCAGGCCTTCTTCCAGGTTTAACCGATATGACCTCTATCCCTATGTCCCTGAAGATAATCTGGAGTACAACTACCTGTTTCGAGCTGTGGGTGTGGCTATTATCTGCTGGCTCTTGCGGTAATATTTGCAAATTAAATTATCAAGAAAAACATCAATTTACCCATTTATACCCAAACCTAATCTGTGTCATAGGCCATACCATGTTAATGGTAAGTGCCACCTCTCACTGTTGTTTATTATGTATTCATTTGAACTGACTAAACTTTTTTTTAATATATGGGTCCTTTAGGTTATCTGCATGGAAGATTACAATGTCAGCAATCTAGACAAAGAAACTCTCCTTCTAGTAGTTACAAGTACTTTTGGAAATGGCGGCTGCCCTGGTAATGGTGAGGTAAGATGCATATAAATATTTGGATGGAAGTCAAGTAATGAAAATCAGCACTTTAAAGAACAATGACATAAAAATACAAACATGTATGCAAAAGAGCTCAGGAAATAGGTGTAGCACTTACATATTGCTGTTTTTACAGCACACTTTAGGGTATAAAAGAAAACATTTCAATTTTGCTGTGAGGTAAAGGACATTTCCTGTGCATACTTTGACTTTTCTAGTAAAAAAAATCCACAAAAGATTGCACTTACAGAATACTGACCCAAGTCCTAAATTTTGGAAAAAGTGATTCCACTGCTTTGTTGAGTTTAGTACCTGAATGCCCTTGGCTCTAAATTCTTTTTACTGAATGCTGAATAAAAGTTTCTGAAATATCAGTAGGCAGGATTGGTGTCTGAGTTCTGGAGCTCGCACTATGACCACAAGTGTTTTCTGGATTGAAAGGCTGAGCACTATAATAGTTAGTTAAAGTGGACCGATCAGTAACTTTACAATCTGTATGAATAAATGAATGATAAAAATAAAGCTTTTACCATTAACCTTATCCCACCCACAATCTGCTTATCATCATTCCTCAGTATGGCGCCCTATGCTGAGGATATGGTAATAAACATCCTCACGTTTGCAACTTCATCCCGGTGCTAACTCCCAATCTCGGCTGTCACTGACAGCAGGGGTCCCCACTGATAATTGGGAACCAATCAGACTGCCTAAGTCAGCTTAGACATGGTGATTACATGCAGGCTGGAGGCTTCATTGAGAAAAATAAAAGCCTCTAGCCTGCAAGTGAAGTTAGCCACCTTCAGGCATCAGTGTCCATCTGCAATGTTATCTAATAAAGCATATGTGAAGGAGATAAAGAAAAAACAATCTTATATATCTGCAATTCATGCACATTTCCCAATGTTTATCCCTTTTTAACACACTGCAAGCACAGAAAAATAACTGTGGATGTGCCTGAAATATACAGGGCTATTCACAAAAGGGTGAAGAGTTTGGAGAAGGCAGGAGAAATGAACAATCTAGGCCAAAATAGCAGATTTGGAAAAATTCTACAATTCAGTTCACTTTCCTGTTCAGCTACCGTATTTTTGCTCCATAAGACACACTTTTTTTCCCCCAAAAGGAGGGGGAAAATGTGCCTGCGTCTTATGGAGCGAATACCTATCGCCCGACACCCAGGACATGCAGTTTCGGGCGCCGGGCGAGTAGTTTCTTTTTGTACATTCAGCCCTGCTCCTGACAAGCAGAGCTGAATGTGCAGTGGGAGCCGCTGTTCGTTTAATACAAGCGATCTAAGTAGATCCCTTGTATTAAATCGAGCGGCGGCGGCATCGGCGATAGTGTCCGCCCCCCGCCGAGGTTTTCTGGGTCCCCCGTTCCTCTGCGGGACTGTGACCCGTCACGATCCCCCATAGGAGCTCACCATAGAGCCCATTGAGCAGACGAAGAACGACGTTCTTCGTCTGCTCTGTGTGATTACTGAGACAGCGCCACCTGTCTCAGCAGTCACTAACTGCAGCTTCTGTTAAAGAAATTCTGTCATAGAATTTCTGTCACAGAAGCCATGCGTCCTATCGTCCGGAGCGTCTTATAGACCGCAAAATACGGTATTTTATCCTAGATTGTTCACTTCTCCTGCCTTCTCCCAGCTCTTCGCCCTTTTGTGAATAGCCCTAATAGTGTGTTCCTACCATCCTCTTTGACTTGACAACTCAGTGAAGGGAAATTACTAAGACTGGAGCAGGTAAAATCTGGAGCAGCTGTGCGGGGCAACCATTCAGCTTCTATGTATCATTTCCAAAGCTTAACTGGACAAACTGAATATTGAAGCTGATTGGTTGTCATATACAACTGCTCAAGAATCTGTCTGCTCCAGTTATAGAACATTTCCTACAGTGTATTTATGGCTCTGCATTCAAAAGCACATGTTGTCAGCCCTGCCTACTAAGTTTCTGATGCATTACAAAGAATACAGATCTTTTCTCAACCCCATCCCTTTTTTTGCACTAATAAAACATATATTATAAAATATAACACCGCACTTTAAAATGTATATTTAGCAGATCAAAAAGGAATAAATCAGCGTTCATTATTAGGGTTTACATGCATTTTAATAGTGTAACTGTCAAAATCAGTTGCACTTTTAAAAAATAATGTTACACTTAAAAAAATGTTTAAAAAGAAAAAAAAAGAAGATCAGGTTTATTAGCCTATAAGAAAAACAGAGCAGGTTTTTATTTATTAACCAAACAAAAGCCTTATTTGTTCCTAAAATAAATATACAAAATATTTCGTTATGCAAATTAGTCGTCATATTGTTATTGCTAGGTTAACTAACACATATTGTTGATGGTAAATTTGGCCTGGGCATCTAGGCCAGAATGATCATGAAAGGGTTAAAAAGCAGCCTGGAGTTTCAGACTGGGGAAGGAGTGGAGCATAATGTCAGAAGTCTGCTTCAGACAAGAGCAAAGCATGTCCACAGTTGTCAGTATCAAAAAGATAGATAGATAGATAGATAGATACATAGATAGATAGATAGATAGATAGATAGATAGATAGATAGATAGATAGATAGAGCAGTGCAGCTATAAACAAGGTATTCACTGACTTTTTACCCCTTTTTATTTTTATTTTATAGAAATTCAAGAAATCATTGTTTAATATGAAACAACTCCACAGCAAAGTAAGGTATGTAAGAATAATACATGTAACAATGTATTTTTCCTTATTCAACTTTAGGATACGTTTTCCTTATCACATGATTCTATAGTAGCAGGACTGCAAAAAACCTTAATTGGCATGCCAAATTGTGCACAACATGCTTTAATTTCACAAGTGAGTGCATATTCTCTAGCTTATGAGCATCTGCAGACAGGATTAGTCCATTTATGTTGTAAACCCTGAACAGCTTGAAAGAAAGGTTTCCAGGCCTTCATAGAATCATAAAATCATAATTGCATTTCATCTCACCAGGCTAATCCTGGCTTAAAGATGAAGTCTCACTAAAAATGTTTAATTGTTATTTAATTCACATGGGGATCAAGTGCATATAGCACTTGGTCCTGTTTAAATCCGTTGTGCTGTTGCCAAGCAGCGTAATCAGACAGTTTAAGCACCCCTGTCTGACCATGGTGCTAGCTAGAAAGGAGGTTTTAAGTGACAGTATTAGCCTCTGGTAGCAGGGGCCGCTCTGGAGACCAGCGCTGCCATTCATAAAAGATTATTCAGCATTGCAGGCTAAGGCTGTGTGTTTACAATAAGCCTGGCAGATAGATCATGTAGTGCTGAGTGATATTTTATGAATGAACAACCAGTGCTGTTGGAGCCAGTACAGTGTATGACACAGCCCTGACAGCACTATGTGATCTATCTGCTGGGACTGCTTGTAAATATAGCTTTGGCAGATAGAGCATAGCCCTGCAGTACTGAGTGATCTTTTTTGCATAAATGATCAGTGCTCTTGGGGCCAACACATTATGAAGGTCACTCGGTGCTGCAGGGCTGTTATCTATCTGCCAGCTGTGTACTTACAAGCACATGTACAGCTGTGTACTTACTTGAATGATCTTTTATGAGTGAAAAATCAGTGCTGTCTGGGCTGTGTGATGGAGTTACAGTGAGCATTAATATAAATAAAGAGGTGTTTCATTTTGCAATGAGGTCACTGATCTGAATGGAACCAAATGCTTTATGCACTTGGTCAACTGGTGGATAAAATAGGTGAGATTTCTTCTTTAGTGAGACAGGCAGTTGTAAAATGTCCCTCTAAGGAAAAAAGTTAAGATAATTTAAAGGTTAATTATGCATGCAATGAAAATTTGCAAATATTCTTGGCTGCATGCTTGTTCCTGGCCACTACTTGTTGACTACTACTTGCGAAACCGGGATCATGACTGCAATTAAGCCTGCACATTAAAATACAAGTCAGCAAGTAACAGGTTCCATTTGAAGGTAACAGAAAATATCGGCCAACATTCCTAGTTTTAAATGGGAAATGGCCAACATCAGCCATTTGAAATTTACTGTCAAATGCATGGCTCCACTGAAAACTGAAAATGGAGGGAGTATAAAACATGAAAGGAAAATATCTGCTCTGGGTTATGTCTAAAGAAAGGTTTATGTGCTATCAGGCAGGGATGCACTGTGAAGATCTCAGGAGTGGGCCTGCACATAAGTATTTATCCATATGGAAACCACTATAAAGGTCTTTAAAAAACAACTTCTTTAAAAGGGATATTGTCTATTAAAGTGTATGCTAGGAGTATGTAATAATTGCTGCTTTTTACATTAGGTACGCAGTTTTTGGACTTGGCTCCAGCATGTATCCACAATTTTGTGCTTTTGCCCATACCATGGACCAGAAGTTGTCACAGCTTGGTGCCTCCCAGATTAGCCTAACTGGTGAAGGGGATGAGCTTAATGGACAAGAAGAATCTTTTTTATCATGGGCTGTTCACACTTTTACGGTAAGAAATAAAAACTAACAAAGAAACATGCCAATACTATCCTGCAAATATTGCTTACCAAAGTCAGAAAGTTCAGTCAGTATTTATCTATATTTGTAGCTAGATGATGAGGACTTCCAAACCAGCTTCTTCTCTTTGCAGCTCTGGAGAAGCTTAGTTGCAGCATCCTGCTTGTGAACAGAGAAGGCCGGGAGCAGTGCAGCAGATTGGAGTTGGGAACAGCGCAGAGGGTGTTTTAAAGCAAGGTCCACCCAAGGGGGATGCATGAGCATGATTAAAGGAGAATTATGAGGTGAGTGTTTTTCACTCAGCCTCATAATCTGAACCGACCTGTGAAAATGAAACTGTCACAGGTCGACTCAGTAGATCGGGAAGTGAGCAAACACATACCGGCGCTCGTTCTACTTCTCGATCCTGTGCCGGCAGAGAGCCGTGACAGGGAAGGGACTGGATTCCCCCCTCCCCTGTCCAATCCTCCAGCGCTGACTGGCGGAACGGACGGGGGAGGGGGCGGGTACAGCTGGCTCTGCCTCTAGATAGGCAGAGCCAGCTGTCACTCTGGGTGGAGTCACTCTGGGTGGAGTCACTTATGTCTGGATCCACTGGGTGGATCCAGACATAATTGTCTGGATCCGTTCCGGCTGCAGCGCCTCAGTATACTGAGCTTTGGGTGATGGGAGGATGCTAGTTTGTGTCCTCCCGTTACCCTTAGGACAACTATGGGGAAAAGCCCTAACCCCATAGTTCTCCTTTAAGAAGTTGGAAACTCAGCAGAGCATGGTTTAAAGTGAATAGCCGAACAGTGTTCGGCTCACTTCACTTCAGATCGGTCATTCACTTGGCAGCTTTGTGAATAGACCCCTATGTCATCAATGTGACATAGTCAGTCTAAGACAACTGGTTGCAGATTTTCTAAAATGATACTGATGTTAATATATTTTGCAATTTTACTTTGAGACCTTCTGTAACAAGGAAGTACAGAGTGTAATCACTTTATAAAAAAATTATTAACCCATACCATTTTTCTAGTTTACTGAAGTCAAAGGAGTAATAATATATACAATTTGCATTGACTTTCACTTTAACTCACTGTTAAATCACTGTGACATTGTCCTTTGGCTTTCTTGTATGTCTTCTAGGTTGCTTGTGAAGCATTCAAGATTAGAGACAGACAAAACATTATACTGCCAAAATGTTATACGTCAACTGAAACCTGGAATGCAGAAAACTATCGTCTGGTGAAAGAAACTCAGCCTTTAGATTACACCAAAGGTATTTCCATATGCAGAAAGACAACTTGTGAAGCTTAATTTGTAAAATAGTTTTAGTCACTACAGTACACTATTTCCCCCTGTTATTGTTAGTTTGTATCTATTTTTATGCTTATAACTTCCTTTCTACATAGATTCTCCTTCCCTGGCGCTCCGGGAGTCTCCCGCTTCCGGCCGCCAAGGAGAGAAACACTCCTGTTTCTCTTTTTTTTTTTTATTCTGACATGGAGCCGTGTCAGAACAGAAAAAATACATAAAGTTTTGCCCATTGGAATGCATTGCTGGATTCCTATTGGCTATTTCAATTTACAATAGCCAATAGTAAACTAGCATTGTACCCGCCCTCTGCTGCAGTTCTCCATCAGGTCCATCAGCAGAGGGCGGGTACAATGCTAGTTTACTACTGCCTATTGTAAATTGAAATAGCCAATAGGAATCTAGCAATGCATTCCAATGGGCAAATTTTTTTATTTTTTTTTCTATTCTGACACAGCTCCGTGTCAGAATATAGAAAAAAAAAAGAAAAAGGTAGGTATTAAGGTAGCAAGGTCAGCAAGTGAGGAAGATTATAACTAGGATAAAAAATATATACATTTGTCTGTTAAACTAGGGTGTTTTCCTTTTGAACTTCCTATATTTTTGCAATGTGGTAAGAAATTCACATTTTTCGGAGGTACTCTGATCAAGGTTTCCTGATTTGAAGACCCAAAATAAGTATTCTTTTGAGCCACTGAGAGGCATAGGAGGTTATGCAGCGTGCACCCAACCATTCTTCACAGAGAACCCACAGAACCGTTTCTCATTAAAGCAAAAGGGCAGGGAAGAGAACATGACAAGGCACAAATACTTTGCAGCTAACATTTCCCAGGTTATTGCACCTACTGGCTTTCAGTTCTAAAGACACAGGACACATGCTTCTTGTTGGGAATTGCTAGGAAAGGCAGCAAACATGTTTCTAAGTACTTCATGTTTCCCTTTGCACCATTCTTTTCTGTACACTTGGCTCATTGTTGCTTAACATCTGTCTAATAGCAGAGGTCAGGAAAAGGTGTGGGCTCTGTAAACTGAGGAAACAGCGTATATAGTGCCTATTATAATGGCTCAGAATGAGAACGAAGAGACTAAAAGTATTGTGTTACAGAGGCAGAAATGTTTATTAAAAATATGGATAACACTATGAAATATAGATAGAGTTTCTTAGATTTATTTTTTACAGCTTTTTTCATTTAGTTTATTGAAACTGTACTCCATGAACTAACATATAGGTAAACGATTACATATTCTGCCCATCGCTTGCCTTTTCTCCACTAAAAAGTATGTGGCTTTGTTTTTTGTAGCGCTCTCCAAACTGCATTCAAGAAATATCCTGAAAATGAAGCTAAAATCAAGGCAGAATTTGCTAAGTGATGAATCTGGGTAAGTTATTTTTCCATTATAGTTTTCATACAAGCATACATAACATTCAGGATTGCTTCTGTTTATAACAGAATAGGCAATTAATTAACTATGTCCGTTCCTAAAACGAGGCAGCCTGAGTGTGCCTGCTGTCCCTTTTCCAGCCACAGTATCCCAGGTTGCCAAGAGCTCTTAGCAACCTGGGACAGTCTGGCTGGCATCCTGCCCAGCTCACTGACGTCACTACGGTAGTTGTCAGGAGCTGAACTGGCCTCCCTTCCATCATCTGGCAACCAGTGACGTCGGTGAGCTGGGCACTGGACAGTGCCAAAGCCAGAGGTACAGTGCACTACCAGCAGCGCCACCTTCCCCCCCGGTAATGTGCCCCACCAGTACTTCATCTCCCCTGTCACTGACACTCATCCCCCCCCTTTTTTAAACCATAGCTTTGCTACAATGTACTTTATCCCCTGAGCTCACATGTTAATACATTTGTAGGAGAATGGGATCTCCCTGACACCAGCCTTTTCTGGGAGTGATAGGTTGAAAACTTTCTAGCCAAGATGGTTACCTGTTCCCCCAGGATCAAATAGTCAGGGCTGTCTGTGTGTACCCATAGGCATAGTGATCCTCACTTCTCTATGAGTACATTTAGTTCTAGAATGTGTCCTAATTCTGTTTTGCCCTTTCTTCTCCAGCATTGTAAAACAAGTAATTATGCTCATACTATAACCGTCAATTGTAGAAACATCCAGAACAGTTATACTCAAGAATACTACAATGTATGTCCACATCCCTTAGCATCAATACATCAATGTGCTTTCCGATAAAAATATTCAATCACTGTGCATCAAAGACAATGATAACTAGTGACGTCCCACAGTCAAATCACTTGTTGATTCTGCTCAGAAAAAGGAAATCCTGCATACGTAATTAATCCTATTATGAGTTCTTTTTTGTTGTTTTCAGACGTGCCACTCTACTAGTGAAACTTTCTAGTGAGAATTACCAGGATGTTCAGTATCTGCCAGGGGAACATGTTGGTGTGTTTCCTGGCAACCAGCCAGATCTAGTTACCAGCATAATTAAACTTCTGAAGGATGTTCCCTCCAACAATCAGGACATCCGACTGGAGACACGCAGCCAACAGGGTAAGAATCTGTTTTGTATTGGTGAACGCCTTGACTTCCTTCTTGGTATATTCAGATAAGTGTTGCGTCATTTAAAAAATAATCTTGGATGTTTTTGTTCTAATAGAATGACTTCTCAGCTGCAGTAAATTAATCAATTCTATTATACATAAAATGATAGAATTGTTATGTATTATATTTTGTGTCGCCGACCAAGTACAAAAGCACAAAGTATACAGTAAGAGAAGATACAATAGCTGATAAAAACAATAAAAAAGTGACATAATAATGGTTACCCAGATTTCTATTTCAGTATACCCTACAGCTCAACCAAAGATCATGAGCCGTTACGTGTTAAGCAATCAACAATAAATGCCAATAAGTTGCTACATGTTACAGACTTTTCTCAACCTAGAGATTTACCCATTAAAAATTAGTACATATGCATCTGCACTTACACAAGTGTGCATGCCCATGTTTTGTGACTAGACACCCCTGGTGCCAGCCTTATCTTAGGAACCAAGCTGATCATCCAAGCAATTTCAAGGCAAACCAACCATTGACCCCCTCCCTGCGATCTATCAGACTGTGGAGTCTGTTACAGTTTGAAAATGTACCTAGACATCACAATTATGGCTCACTCCTACTGATCCTGTTAAGTGACATTGCTTAAGCTCATTCTGTTTATTGTTGATTCAATATAAATGTTGAATTGCATAATGCGGAAAAAAAATTGCATCTCTCTATAGTAAGGTGTCAGGACAAAATAATTATAGTGTCATTAGACTATTTTGCTAAAAAGCCACTTAAACCAAAGACACAACAGGACCATTGTTAGTGAGCAGTTGTTGTTATACACAGTTAAAGTAAGAGGCTTGAGAATACATATATTTAAGTAAGATTTGTACAAATTGTGCAACAGATACTGTTGATAAACAATGACGTTTAATAAAAGTGTATGACCCTGGTGTGTGGTTACACAGGAGTAGCTACATAAATATAGCTTACTTTAAATTAACATAAAACAATCAACACTGAAGCCATTATACTCTGAACTGAGTCTTTGAGGGACATAATACGTTTATACGATGAGGCCATCAGCATTAGCCATTCAGTACTGAAGGTTGATTATACATGGATTAATGACAGCAGCCTTGCTATATTAACAGGTAGCAAGAGTCCACAAAGCAGTTTTGGTTTTGAACTAGCCACAACTTGTTTTTGTTTGCATGGTCAAAAGCAGCTTGTCCACAACCAAACACATAAAAATAAATACTAGGCTAGCAAACAAAATTAATTCTTTGCAAGGAAGTGGATCTTGTGTCCAGGTCCCCAAATAGTTTTTACTTGGTATCAAAGCTTCTGCCATACAATAGTTCTCTGGGGGGGCAACATGCCCTGGTTTTCCAAAGTATGTAAGAGCACTGAGATACCCCTGTGGAGGAGGCTTCCTCCTCTATAAAGAACAATCATCACAAGCTGAATTGGCTTTCCCGAAGCTCTCAATAAAAAATGGATATAATAGACAATAGAGAGCATGCTATGAGAAATGTGGACCCCTTCTAAAACCCCCAGATCTTCTTTCTCAACAGGAAACAATTAGAATTTTAAATGGTACAACCATTTCCAGTGCTGTCATTCTTACAATATATGCTGTGGAAAAGATTACAGCAGATGACCTTGGGAGACCAGATTTGGCATTTCAAGAGATTAATTATGTTGGGAAATGTTTTTAGGTTAGAATTCCCACCAGGTCTGCTATCCATATCTATCACATCTCCCTGACAATAACAGGACTAGCCAGGCCTTTAAGCTGAGCTACCATTGTAAACTTATGTATATCCCTATGAAGAATTCACTAGACACTAGACAAATCGCTATTATACAGCATTTTAGGTCATGCACCCTCTACTACAGTCTTTGTTAACCCTTCTACCCCAGAGGAACCCCTAAAAAAAAATCAGGTCTTAGGAAACCCTTACTAAAATCAACTCATCGGGTAACAAAATGCTTCTTGCATTGGCGGTCAGTGGGAAGAATGCCCTCCTTACAGTGGTGAACAGAATTCCACACTTATAGACATCTAAAAGGATCATTGGCATCATGCTTCTGACTCTAGGTGGCATTACATACTGAACTATGTGGGTACAATCAGATGGGAAAACAATCAGTCAGAGCTCAAGAAACCCCTAGCCACTTCTGGGGGAACCATAGTGTTTCACGGGACCCTGGTTGAGAATAGCTGATCTAATGAGTCATATATAACAATAGGTTTAGGCCTGTAACAATATAACTCAACCTGGCTCTCTATTCAAAGAGTGGGAGGAGTTCTCCCTACGGGAGTCCAGGATAGCATTATTGATCAAAGGTTTGAACTACCCAGCTCCACCCAAAATGGACACAGTCTACATTAAATAAAATGCTCTTTAAGAAAGCTGTAAAACAGATTAAAATATCACTGAAAAGATGCCAACATTTTTATATGTTAAAACAAGGGAACTACAGTACATTGTACAACATAAATTGCTGATACGTATAGTGGTGCAACAGTAGATAGAGGCATTTTAATAATGATGGTCCTTTTTAACTGTAGTAATAAAGAAGATCCTGTAGCTTTTTACAAATATTTCTTTGCAAAAGGAATCATCTGAGTAGAATATACTGTAGGAAGGATATCCAAAACTGTTCAAGGTTATGTCAGTTATAAAAATTTAAAGTATCCCTGAAACAGGATAACCGAATAATTCCCCAAACTTTTTAAGACAATGAAAATTAGAAGCTTTGACTGGAACACTTTGTAACAGCTACTAAATGATTTCCTCCCCTGTTGTATTTGCAGGTAACTTCTGGACAGTCAGTGAGAAAATCCCTCCTTGCTCTCTGTTCCAAGCTTTGACTTTTTTTGTAGACATAACTACTCCACCCTCCCAGCTACTTCTGAAAAAGCTGTCACTGCTGGCTGCTGATGCAAAGGATAAACAGAGACTGGAAGACTTGAGCAATGTACGTACAAGGTTCATTCACTCTGCACTTAGCATTGTCCACTGGTTTTAAGCATTTCATTCTATTTCTGGCATGTGGTATGTGTATTTTAGGTACAGCTGAGATGTAAGTGACATATATATATAACAATTGCATGATATTATATTATTCCAATGATAACTTTTTTATGTATTTTGCTAAATACTCCTACAGCACCCACATATATGGAAAACCAGCAGACATTTGAATATATTCACTATAGTAGTTCAGAGAGCAATTACCCCACAACAACCAATCAGATTCTATATTCCTGTAGTCAGATTACTTAAAGGAGAACTATGGGGCAACCTTTTTTCCCAACAATATTTATTTTATTGAAAATTTTTGTTATTTAATAAAGATCTCTTATGTGCGTAACACCTTGGTGAATCCATTTATTTAGGGAGATATTTGGAATGCAGTAAGTCAAAACATTAAGTGTGGGATGAATGTTTTGTAAAGAAGGCGACATGGGTGAGGATAGAGACAAGGAGGGGCAACCTTTTTTGCCCATAGTTCTCCTCAGGGTCCCGGGAGGACATATACTGTGTCCTCTGGTGACCCACAATTCAGTATATAGCGGGCAGTCAGTGCTGGGGAAACAGAGAGGGGAGGGGGGGGGAATCCCTGTGGGGATCGGTGATTGGCAGTCATCGCTCTCTGCAGGGAGAGGATCGTTAAGTCAGTAATCGGCGGTGTGTGTTTGCTGACTTCCTGATCAATAGAGCAGATCTGTGGCAGCTTCTTTGTCACAGGTCGGCTTGAATTATGGGGATGAATGTTTTTCGCTCACCCCATAATTCTCCTTTAACAGATTCTTTTTAGCATTGGTTGCACTACTTTACTGAATAAGCTTCTAGTTGCACTCGGATACACTGTGTAGGCCCAGCTTTCCAATCTTCTCCTTCTGCCTACCTTGTATTACAACTTATTACTAATTTGTTCTAGACATATAAAGGCTTAAGAAATTAGTTTCCCTTCATTTTGTATTAATTCATTTTTGTTTTGTTTCTCAATTTTCGGATCACATTCAATTCGGTACATTATTCAGAATTTGGATCGATCCAAATTTTTTGTTATCGGTTTGGATACATTCGAATCTATTTAAATTTATTATGTTGTTAAACATAAAAAAGAAAAAAAAGAAAACAGCGTGGGATCCCCCCCCGACCCTTTGCGTCTGGTAGGAATTTAAGGGGGGACTCCATGCCGAAAAAAATAAATAAAATACATTGTGTCCTCCCCCAAAATCTCTTGTGGTTGGATCAAGGATCCCTTAGACCCTTGATCCAAGCAGCAGCCTAGCAGAGCAGCAAAGGGGGGGCAAAGGACCCTTCCCATGTTGAGGGCATGTGGCCTGGTATGATGTGGGGGACCCCCTAAAATTCCTACCAGACGTAAAGGGTTGGAATTCTTTATTGTTGCCATACAGAAATTGGCATGCATCCGATTGTCTGAATTTGAAGAAATGTGTCCAAATTTTAATTTGAACAAAACAAAACGTATATGTCTAATTTGTTCAATTTTAACACTCAAATGACTGGTACCATAAATGGCATCATCATCAGGTAGGCCAGCGCTGCCATTCAGACACTTAGGGGGTCTATTTATAAACTATTTGCAGGTCTCTTCACCATGGTAAGAACATTCATTTTTGCCATCATTTGCCCAAAATGAATGTTCACAGATATTCACAGGACTAAGGACCCTGTGAATTGTTCATAATAAGATAATAATTATAATAATTATAATAATAATAATAATAATAATAATAATAATAACAATGTCCATTTTTAATATTTCCCTTAATCTTGATCTAGTCCTTCAGCACATAAAGGCAGTGTTGGGCTGAAGCTATGCCTCTTTTTTTCTGCTGACCATCAGGATCTCATCAAAAACACTCTTTAACCTCTAATTGTCTTTTTTGTTCTCTTGAGTTCCTGTACAGCAGTGATTACTCTTAAGGATTATAAAATAATAAAAAATTAAATTGTAAAAACATCAGAGAATTAGTTTTTAATTTTGCATTCCATTGTTCATTTTATCTGCTTTTTAATAGTTTGGCATAATTGTTTACCAGCATATCCTGTTTAATATAGCCAATTTCTTTGCTTTTTTTAGGACATAAAAAAATATAATGAATGGAAGTCCTACAACTACCCATCATTTCTTGAGGTACTGGAAGAGTTTGCATCTCTGGAGGTGCCTGCTATATTTGTATTAACTCAGCTCCCACCACTGAAGGCACGATACTACTCTATAAGCTCTTCAAAGGATATGAAACCTGGGGAGATCCATCTGACAGTGGCTGTTGTTGACTACAAAACAAAAGGTAATAATAGACTTGTATCAACCTTTTCCCTCCCACAATATGCTTTCAATCCAGGCTGTTGCTGATATCTGGGAACCAATCAAAGGGGTTCCTAATCATGTGATCACTGTCAAATATGACATAGTGATCACAATCAAGCTGCAGGCTTGACTAAAAATAAAAGCCTTGAGTCTGCAGATGCATCTTTTTAATACTCTAATTGTCAGATACAACTACAGTATTATAGATATAATAAATTAATTTAAGAATTAACAAATATGCAAACCAAAAGAAGTAGCTGGCATGAATTAAACTTTAGAAATACACTTATTTTATAAAATTGATATAAAATGTTAATCGTAGATTAATATATTTTTGTTTACATATGTATTTTTTTCCCTGTTCTAGGAGGTCAAGGTCCTCTGCACCATGGTGTGTGCAGTACATGGTTCAATAGCATCAGTCCTAATGAACTGGTTCCTTGTTTTATAAGAAGGTAAGCATAGAGCATAGTAATGTGCAATATCCTGTCATACAGTGTTATCTTAAGTCTATCTTATGTACGTGTACCCTTATACAGTGCAATCTCCTGGCATATAATATACACATGACCTTAGACTGTGCAGTATCCTAACATACAGTCTTGTCTTTGTTTATGTTATCATGCCCTTAAATATATATTTAATATAGTGGTCACATAGTTTGTACAATATTTATTTCTTAGCTAAAGCACTCTTGCAATTTACATTTTGAACTGTCAAGTTCATATCTACCCACAATTGAATGGCACATTTACACATTAGAATTTGATATACCCAACTAATATTTGATTGAAGTTAAAAAACCTTGAATGTTTTTTTTATTTATAAAAAATGTTGGATCATTTTCTAAGGAGTTTTAAAGTGTGTTATGTACTGGACATTTTTTTTTTTATTCTTCTTTATTATATTGTTAATGAAAGGTTATTAAAATAGGATTTCTAGTAGCATTAGCTGATTTTTTCCTTAATCATAGACTCAATTTTTCAATCAAAAACCTGTATGGCCAGTGATAAAAAGGAAACACATTTAGATCAGGTAAACAAAATTAAATTAGGATATCAATATATCTGTATGTACAACAAGAACACTTGAAAGAAGGTTGAAATCACTCTGTTGATAAATGTAAATCCTAACAAATGACTTTCTCCTATTTCCTGCAGTTT